TATAACTCCTGAATGGATGCATATTTTTAGATGAAATTTGAAATCTGCTGATGAAATTCGATGTAGATTATGGTGGAATCCTTAAAAATGGAGTACTAATAAAAGCAAAAAATATTAAAGGGGGTGCGGATTAAAAAACCATTTTTTTTCGCAAACGTCAATCGGAAATTTTTTTTGATAAAAACTCACCGTTTGAGTTCAATATCACCCTCCATAAGTTTCATGTGGGTCCCATGCTCCGAAGCTGAGATTTAGCATGTCCAAAAATTCTGGATCCGCGCCAGATAGTTAGTGCTCAACCGATGAGTCTTTGAAGCGAATGAAGTACAGATTCAAGTTCTCTGATCCAGAGAAATTCGAGGTAACATATCTCTCATCTGATAAAAGAAAAACTTGAATTGTGGGCTCATGAGGCCATTGACAACATTCGAACTACTTCTGTAATTTTGCTTGCCTGATAGATGACTCAACGTTCTTATTCCTTCACACATTAGATACTATTTTGTAACCGGTAAAATTCTCTATCAAATGATTTCTAAATAATAGTGGGATTTTATTCAACTCTGATGGAAAATTTTCTTACGAGAGCGACAATATAACGATCGTCCCATCGAAAATCATAGGAATAAATCAGCATTTTTGCAATCACTCGGAAGAGTCCGTCCAATCAGATTCGTCTTTGAACTCGACCGAAACATTAATGAGATTGAAACGTGTGGAAAATTTCATCAGGATCTAACTCTCCTTTAGAAAGTGATCATGTAAACAGCAAACCGGACGGACGGACTCACAGCCTATTATATAGTTTGCTCACTTTTTGAGTACACAAAAAGAAGAAACATATAGATAAACACTCCATTGATATTAATTCTGAAGAAATGTATCATAGTTGTTATTCTCGAACAGATCGACAAACTCATATGAATTCAAATGAAGATGGTTTTATTAGTTGTATATATGTTCCTTCGCAAGGTCATTTGATATGGTGAAAAAAGATGTTGTAAAGTGAATGAAATAATTTTAATCTCTTTTATATAACTGAATATTTATTGAATCATTGACTTGCATCAAAACAAGGTAAATATGAACAAAATCGTTGCCACATACTATGATAAAAGAGTTTCTTAAAAGTATTCCAGAAACGATTAACCATAATCCGCCCACCTGGGGTTCGTTCAGATCCCAGCAAGATTCAAGTTAATTCCCTGTATTCGTAACTTTAGCTAACAACTTGTCTAGCGAGATATGCGTTAGGAACACTTAGTAGAGTATGCTGATAACATCAGTAAATCAGATTCAGTTGTTGCTACTGTGAAAAACCATCTCGAAGTACGTGTGGATGCTGAGTATTCGATACAAAATCCCAGACCTTCGAAAAATAGGATATGGCAACAAAACGAAAAAAGATTGAATAAAGATTATCCATGTTAGTTGTAACCGGTGTTTCCAACAGCAAGTGTACACAGCAGAAGCGAAATGTACAGAACATCTGCTACTTTTGATTTACACTCTGCTGTACACTTTGCTAAACATTTTACACTTTGATTTCTGAACCGTAAAAGCTGCACGTAGTATTAAATTACGCATTATGTTGAAATCATGATAAATTCTGATCTCCTAGGTTCAATTCTATGATAAAATGAATAGAGAGATAAACTAACAATTTATTTAACTTTTTAGATTGTGAAAATTGTTTTTTTTTGTACACTTTGATGCACTTTACTGGCGAGAGCAAAGTGTACATATGCACTCTGCTCATATAATACTGAGTGTACAGTACATTTTGCTTTAGATTTCTATTGGAAACACTGGTTGTAACTCTGTTTGTTCTTCTTGTAGTTAAGTCTTCTCTAGAAGTACTATAGCTCCATAATAAAACAATGACAGTTTAATATTTTAATTATCTCTTATCAGCCTGGGGTCCATATGGACTCCAGGTGGGCAACAAGTGATAGTCCTATAGGTGGGCGGATCAGGGTTAAAAAGAAGACTAGTTGGATTACCTGGATGAATTCGACGCAGGTGTGCGATTCAATACAATTTGAGAACATGATTGCTAGAAAAGAAACATTTAAAAATTGATGAAATTGATTATCGATTTTATACTTCATGATAATCTAATGTATTCCAACTAAATTGTTGATGACAATATCTACATTCAATCAGAAGAGGAGTTGGTCTATTTAAAATATGGAAGAAAATGAAATAATATAAATATATGAAAAAATAAGTAAGCAGTTCATATACTGAAAATTGATCGGAGGAGTTTTTTGTCGATATGATTTCTGGAATACAAGAGATAAAACTATTGAAAAAAAAATACTTGCTTACATACTTCACGATTTCTACTTCGGGATGGTGGATTGTGTCGCCGAGGTGATGGCTCAGGCTTCCTGAAATGAATAGATTCATGTTAGAATGGATTTTATTATTCTTTTCATACGTTTCATGTGAAATGACAACAGTTGGCTCTACTCGACGGGTTTCCTAGAAAAGAAAATATAATGACATGTTATTATGAGTTTTAACTATACTCTCTCATTTGGAATTGGATTTCTTACAAGTTGTTTTTGTTTATCTTCCTGATTAGCCACATCAATATCTCTATGAAAGAATTATGTCATAATATCTATTATCAATCAATTATCATAATATCAATAATCGACATCATTCATAGTTTTGAAAAAGATATACATAAAAGTTGAAAATTTAGAAATATTAATTGTTCGATAAATATGCAGATTTTTTTATGAAATATGCATAATAATATAAATTCCAATCATACTCAGAACAATATCACTTATTAATAATAGATCTAATCAATACTGATATCACTTACTTGTAATCAATTTTTAAAAGTTCCAACTGAATCTGTTCCATAGTGTCTCGTATTTCTGGAGTTATCAACAAGCACTGTGTAATTATGGTCCATATTCTAGCATCGCAATCATCTGGTGGTAATAGCTGTTCACCATTTAATCTTCTTTGTCGAATATTATCAATACTAGTATCAGATCCATAAGGTACTGTACCATGCGAACAAGCTTCCCACATTAAAACACCAAATGAATAAACATCAGATGCTTCAAAATAGTTTGATTGATATGCACTCTTAAGAATTTCAGGAGCACAATATCGCACAGAAATAGTTGTTTGCTTAACATCTACATTTGAGCAATCTTTTGTACGCGCCATACTAAAATCAGTTAGTTTAACCAGATTTTCTGTTGAATTTGTTGGATGCATTCGAAAAACGAGCACATTTGAACAACATAAATTGCCATGTGCAATATCTAGATCAGTAATATACATCATGGCATCAAGAATTTGTAAGAAGATTGTAATAAGAACTTTATTTGATGGCTGAAAACGTTTTCTTTGTAACAATATTTGAAGATTACCATGAATAGCACGTTCTTGTAGTAACATGGGCAATCGATCATTATTTCTAACGAAACCATACGTATGTATAATATGTTTATGAACATTGAGCTTAAAATACCATGAAGCTTCACATTCTGATGTTTCTTTATTCATAATCATTAGAATAATCGGTGGTTCTCTTTTTGGTATCCAATCTGCTTCATAATATCTACCGTTAAGACCATTCAGTGGATTCTTCTTAATGACATGAACATCCAATTGATATTCACAAGTCTCTAATGATCTAAATAATTAATAAAATATTCAAATTTTAAAAAGATAAAGATGTTAGTTATAAGAAACACTATGATATCACGTACGAGGAACCATATAATTTATTTCACTTACTCAAATGTAATCCTAGACAAAAGCTTCTTCATGTATTTAAACGTGTGTCGTATTTCTGGTGTAATATACCAACATCCTTTTATAATTTCCCATAGTTGCTCATCACATGCGTTTGGCATCGGTAATATCTCGTCATTTGACTTTCGTCGTCGAATATCACTTTCATATGTATCAACTCCGTAAGGCATTTTACCTTGTGAACAAGCTTCCCACATTAAAACACCCATTGAGTATACATCTGAAAATTCAGAATAATTGAACTGATCTCTACTTTGAACAATTTCTGGTGCAGCATATCGAATTGAAATTAATGTTTGTCTATCGTTTTTAAATGATGGATCATTTCTACAAGTAAAAGAAAAATTTGTAAGTTTAACCAGATTTCTTGTTGTCTCAAATGGATTCATTTCAAAGACAAGAACACTAGCACAACGTAAATCACCATGTATAAGATCTTGATCAATAATATAAATCATAGCATCAATAATTTGTAAGAATATTATTTTAAGTATTTTTGTAGATGGTTTAAATTGTTGACTTTGTAACAATTTTAGAAGATTACCATGTGGAGCACGTTCTTGTATTAACATTGTTGATCGAGGATCATTTTTTACTAAACCAAACGTATGAACAATATATTTATGAGAGCTAAGTTCAAGATAAAACGAAGCTTCATGTTCAGCTGTTTCTCTATTTATTAAAATCAATATAATTGATGATGTATTCTTTCTTATCCATTCGGCATTATAATATATTTGTCCATCTCTACTATGCAACCGATCGTTCATTTTAACATCAATACCAAGTTTAAATTGATATTGTGACCTTTGAAATAAAAATAAACATTCATAATATTTTACAATAGCAATTATTTATTGTCTTAATTTAGTTATATACACTCACTATACTTACTCAAGGTCAAGATTAGAAAGTTGTATTTTCATATCTTTAAACTTAATTCGCGATTGTGGTTTATTATTCCAACACTTTTTAATATTAGGCCAAATTCTTCTATCGCACATCCATGGCCTCGGTAATATTTCACCATCTAACTTTTTTTGTCGAATTTCTCGGTTCGATATAGAAGAGCCATAAGGAAGTTTCCCTTGTGAACAAGCTTCCCACATTAAAACTCCCATTGAATAAACTTCAGATAATTCACAATAATTTAATCGACCTGCACTTCGAAGAATTTCAGGTGCACAATATTCTACTGGAATAATTAATCTTCTATCTTCCGATAATAATGGTTGATTTGGTCGTACTAAAGCAAAATTTGTCAGTTTAACAAAGTTTTCTTTAGGTTTCGATGCATCCATTTGAAAGACAAGAATATTCGAACAACGTAAATCACCATGTATCATTCCTTGATTAATAACATACATCATTGCATCCATAATCTGTAAGAAAATAGCAACGAGTACCATTGATGTTGGTTCGAATAAATTGTTTTTTAGTAATTCTTGAAGATGACCATGAGGTGCTCGTTCTTGCAGTAACATAATCGATTGTAAATTATTTTCAACAAATCCGAATGTTTTAATAATATGTGGATGATTATTGAATTCTTTGTAGAATAATAATTCATATTTTGTTGGTGCTTCATTCATTTTAATCAATACAATTGATTCTGTTCTTTCTGACAGCCATTGTGCTTCATAGGTTTCACGGAATCTACCATCTAATAAACCATTTTTTGCTACATCAACATTAAGTTTGAATGTGTAACCTGTCGATGGTCTAAAAACAAATAAGTGACTGAAGCATATCATTGAAAATGTTTGCAGAAAATAGGATATATTAGATGGAAAATACCATCGCTTCTGAAAGATCTAAAACCGTACTATCTTTTCATTCATTTGTCTCCCATGAATGACATGTCGTTTAAATTTCTGTTTTGTATTCTTGCCCATGCATCACTAATAACTCATATTTTAAGTGACTTTGAAAGAATGAAAATTAGACAAAAAAATTTAGAATATGTACTGATTGATAAGGGCTTATTCGATTATGACTGAAAATAAATTTCTTACTCATATGATGTAATAGGTGGTCGAACATCTGAAACTTTAGAAGGCTTAATATAGGTTAATCTATCTATAATCTGTTCAAAATTTGGACGCCACACTGGTTCATCATCCCAACAGGATTCTATCAAAGACCAAAGTTGAGGATTACAAATAGGTGGTTGATTTAATTTTTCATTATCTAATTTTACTCGTGCAACTAGATTATCATCAGCAATGTAGGAATAAGGTATTTCACTATTCGATAAAGCTTCCCACATTAAAACACCCATTGAATAAACATCTGATTTTTCTGTATAACTTGATTGATCATTATTTCGAAGAATTTCTAATGCACAATATCGTTTTGGAATAATATATAAATTCTCCAACTTAGATGGTGTCTTAAGTGAACGTGCAAGACCAAAATCAGTTATTTTAACTGAACTATTTTTTGGTTGTAATGGATCTAATTTAAATACAAGAACATTACGACAGCCTAAATCACCATGTACAATCGATTGACTAGGGTGCCATTCAATAATTGGTAAAAGAAAGCTTCACGTTTACCAATATCAGTTTTCATTTCAACAATAATACATGAACATGTTCTTTCACGTATCCATTCACCAAATGATATTACCTTATCATTTTTTCCATAGATATGATGCTTTTTACGAACATCAATATCAAATTGGTATCTTTTTAATTCTAGTTTCGACTGTATTGCCATTGTTTTATTAAATTATCTTTGTATATATAATCGATAACGATATTTCTGAAAAATCAAAGCAATATCATTATACGGAGCAATCTTAAATACTAGTAAAACTTAAAGTGCCTGTGAATTATGACTTTTAGATTAAAAATAGTGCAGATGTTGATTTATTAATGAAGATTTGATAAAAATTTTTTGATAGAATATGGTCGATAAATGTCTTGTCACTGCAAGAAAAATAATCTCAACTACAGAATACATTTACAACTTTGATGCTTGACGCCAATAATTATTAGCAAATGTTACTACAGAGCTGCATGCAAGTTCATCTTAACTTGACCATCTGAATTAATAGAAATCACATAAATATCCTTCACTTTAACTAACTTACCATTAATATTTTTTTCTATTTTAACTTTCCAACATAACGTATGCACTATTGATAACGACAAACAAACAACGCTTACATTTTTTCTTCGTTCTCTCAAAGTTTTGCAATTATGGCTTACTTTTTCGATATCTCTTTTATTGGCTAAACAAGTTGATGTAAAAGAATCGTAGGAAAAAAAGAAAAGACGTTGTCGGATTTTACGACTTGCATTCATGTGTCGATTAAATCTGCCGATAAAAACAGAACGAAAAGGTTTGGATGCAACTGAAAAGAAGTTTGATTCGCAGGCTAAGATGTAGGTGTAGTTGTTGACATATATCCATATTATAAATACGATCGTATATTGCTGAAGTATGCTTTAGTAGAACTTTTCAACGATGAAATATCCTCTGAGACTTTCCTTTAGAGCACAAAGAACTTTTAAAGTTCTAAAAGTCGACCATCTTGGGTATGGATGTAGATGATCACACGACATTCGCTCACCCACACCTAGACCCGCACACCCACCTACATTCACACGAGGGTGAGTGTAATTGGGTATGGGTGTGGGTGGATGTGGGTGTCGGTATGTGAGAATAGAAGATCCACATTCACACTCGCATACCGTCACCCACACTAGCGTGTGGGTGGGTGTGGGTGGATGTATGTGTATGTGTAGGTGTGGGTGTAGGTGTGAGTGTGGGTGTGGGCGTCGCTGTGGGTGTTAGTCTTTTGGTAGTTACACCCACGCCCACATGTCCACCCACGCCCACATGTCCACCCACACCCACACCACCCACACCCTCAAGATAGTTTCTTTTCATCCACTTAACAAATGCTTCCAAAAACAATTGCGCTGAATGCCGTCCGTTCTTGATTGTGCATTTTTTTTATCGATTCTATAGAAAAAAGCAGTCACGGATTCTGAAAGCAATCGAAGCGTCGACAGTTCGATTTCTTTTGATTGTGATTAGAACTTGCATTCTAAGAATATAAACAGAAGCGGAAGTAGAGTTTCATTTTCTCTTATAAAACAACTGAATAATGGTCTCTACTTACCGCGTATATTACAAATCATTAAACAGTGGATGTGGAAGTGTTGGTGTGCGTGGGATTTTGGTATAGGCCATAGGCAGGACTCTGGAGTGCACATTTCATACAGAAGTGAAGTTAGTAGATGGCTACTCTGTGTCTGCGTAGTTGTGAGACTGCCTTCGGTGTATATGGGTATCGACGCAGCTGTGTTACTCTAAGGTTCTTTGATGAAGTATGCATGTTGGTTAATGATCATCATTATGAGAATGAATGCCTTTATGATAAGGAATGTGTGGTTTGTGGGTTCGGGTGGAAGTGCTAAAGTATGGGCTGTCGGATTTCAAAACGAGTTTTGAAGAAAAAAAAAGGAGGGACTATGGGACTTTGGAAACACAAAATTATCCATACAGCTTTGCTCCCCACTATTTGCGTGATGAGGTACGTGCTGAGCTTCAGAGTGTAAGGTTTGGGTGTGAGGGTGAATATAGGGGTGGACGCGGGGAAAGGATAATGAAATGTGGACTCAGACGCACATGACGTCCACACCTGCAATCCGAGCCACAGCTAGAGGTGTAAGCCGTACGGCTGAGCCGCTGCCACCGCCACCACCAAATCAGAGATAATTTTAAGAATTTTTCAGCAGCCGTCACTGTGGGAAAAAAAAATTAGCTGCTTTGCCGCTGCTATGAACAGAAATTTTATAATCCTAGAAGCAGCAGCCGCCCGTGTCATTGTTTTTTTGTTGATGCATTTTATTGATCACTAGTTGTCTGACTCAGAAGCATTTACAACTATTATTTTGCTGCCGGTAATATAAATACTTATGCAATCGAACATTTTTTCGCCATTGTCGAATTTCGAACCACAGGGATACAGCAAAATAGGAATTTCTTATTCTCGAAAGAATACTTCAATTTTAAACGCAGCCGCCGCTGCCGTTCGGCCTGTAAATATCAACCAGCATCGCTACTATCGAAAAAATATTAAATGATCACAGCCATTGCTGCCGTTCGACCCTTCGGCTTACACCTCTAGCCACAGCTACAGCTTCAAACACATCGACACCCTACACCGGACATTCATGCTAACTGCTACTGTTTGCATAGTGAGTTTTTTTGTGTTGTCAATTTTAAATTTTTTACAGTTGTCATCTACAGTCGCCACAGTAGACTGTGGAGATTGAAAGAAGGGAGAACGCAAAAAAGAAAAAAGGAGGCAGCGTACGACAAAAATAGAGCATTAAACGTCTCCATGGTTGGGAAAGTAAATAAGGAATCATTCAACAACAAGTATTGCTCTTAGATATAGACAAGTCGATACAACTGAAGAAAAAATAAATCATTCCAGTTTATTCGGTAAATTTGGTTTCCAATATTTGATTTTCATGAGTAAATTATCAAAAAATATTTTCTAGACTTCATGAGATCTTTTAAGAGAGCCTCTATCAGCCCATGGTGCATCCTTCCAATAGGCGAGACACTCGATAAAAACTTTTTTTTGATTCTTTTTGCTCATTCAACGCGTCAATATCTACAACCATCAGCGCCAAAATTTTAGTTTTTAATATCCTTTGTTTAAAAAGTTAGCCAATACCAACTTTTAGGACTATAATCGCTTTTCAAAAAAAAAACAAGAAAAAATGCTCTATAATCGGCGTGGCAAGTTGCATCGCAATAGATCATTAAAATTTTTTATGGTATGTGCCAGAAGACAGAATTAAAATCTGAACAAAATAGGCTTCACTAATATGAGACAATTTCTAGGAATTCAAGTTTTATAAAGCCAACAATCGCCAAAGGGGCCCTTTAATTTGATATAAAATACATTTGTGATATCATTGATAATTAAAGCTGTAGAGGGGGACGTGTCGATAGACGCAATGCGTTTACAACATATCATCCTTGTACGAGGTCATCAATGTTAAATGTCATCCTTGCATAATATAACTCTTGTGCGATATAACCTTTTAGCTGATGAACTCTCATTCCTGTTTGGTGTTGTAATATCTTTCTCGCTTTCTCTTGTGTAACCTCGAACGTTCCATGCGGATATTTGTATCTTCTCCTCTCTTGTGCGACCGAGTAATCTAACGCAACTAGTTTATAATGACGTGTAAAAGAACAGAACAGCACAACTGGATATAGAGTAGTAAAGTGAACATCGTATACCGAGTATAGCGATAACGCTACTCTTCCAGTTCGTCATTGTGATCACAATTAAATAAATGCTGCAGCAGTAACGAAACTGACCCATCTCTCTTTTATTTTTCGTTACAGGGGACGTAAAGGTGATGTGATACCCTGTATATGTTGTATAACTTTTCATTCTCTACGAAGTAGTAAAAAGCTATTCGAACGAAAATGGTGGAATCGGTACAAAGCGAGGCCTATGTCTCCTAATTTTTGATGGCTTTTGCTGGTTTTTCAATAGAAAATGAACATTTTCATCAATTTTTATTACCCCGTGACATTAAGAAAGCAAAATCGATACGATATTCGTAATCACAATAAAAACTGCATCCACTGATATATATTTTTGGAAAACCGTTTTCTCGCCAAAACTGACCTGTGGAGAACCACAGCTCAATTTTCTACAGCAAAATGTTTTCGCTACACTACGCGTGACGGGATGCAGGTTTTATTGAGACTACGAATATCGTATCGATTTTGCTTTAGTAATGTCATGGGGTAATGAAAATTGATGAAAATGTTCATTTTCTATTGAAGGGTGTAGGTGTGAGTGTCATATTTTCTTTAACCATACCTACACTCACACCCCACACCCACACCCACACCCACACCCACACCCACACCCACACCCACACCCACACCCACACCCACACGCACACCCACACCCACACCCACACCCACACCCAC